ATACAAGACAAGATCTTCGAAGGGATGGTGGCTACCTTACATACATACATCCCTTTATTGGTTTCGTATTCCGTTCGTCCTACTCACACTTACTTGTTATGATTAGACTAGAGTCGGTGTATAATGAGTCACGCCAAGAGAAAAACAGTTGAACGCGCATCACGGTTTTCGAAAGATTCCCTTTCTTTTCACTTGGCAACAGAGGACTTCTACATCAACTTCAAATAACGTCTAGCGAGAAAAAAAATAGCGGCTGTAGTAAACCATTATATCAGTGATTTTGTCAAATTATCTTTAAAAAAAATAGTAGAAATTTTCATTACTAATCATTATCAAACGTATTCCATGACAATTGAATGCTCACTGCGTGTTTATGATCATTTCGTCGATTATATTTTATATTTTATTGCAATACCTTTCGTGAACCTTTCATAGCATCGTAATGTTTGTTTTACTTTGCACGATAGGTAGCTGGTTTGACAGTTTAATAGGTAGACTTAGCTTCACTCTTGGCGTGACTCATTATACAGAGATTCTAGATTAGACTAACCAATGTGTGAGGTTGAAGGACTGATGGCTCGGTGCGAAAGTTCAAAGTTGCGCGTGATTTGTTTTCATCCTTTCCCCGTTCACAAAGGTTTTAAGTTTCGGGAAGCCTTCTTAAGACGGCCTACACTAAAAAAATATTGAAATCTAAATAGTATAAAAGTTACGCTAAATCGCAACTCTCCGTACCGACGCAAAGGTAGGTATAAAGGGAGAGAATGCAAACTTAGAATAAAAATGGTGCCATAGTATAAAATCGAAATATACTTTCAATACATAGATTAGATACGGTTTATTCGAGAGAATGTATTTTTCGCTTCTTTATTTTATTTATGGTAAATATTATTGTTTTCAAATAAAAATCAAAATTGTCTCAGGAAGCTTTTTTAATTAGTTTATTTTTTATGAATATCATTTTAAAAAATACTTACAATTTCGATGTTGCCCAGCAGATCACAGGCGCAGTAGAAATCCGCCGGGACAAAGCAAAGCGAAATCAATTCACCAGCAAGAAGCTCCGAAGGGAATCCAGATGTTCTTTTTCCTGTCATTTTAGTAAACACTGATCGAATTCCACTCCGTTATTCGGACTTAGTATAATTTTGACGAAAATTTTAATCGAACCAATGTATAAATTTTGACAAATCATAAAATGTATAAAATTTAATTTAATTATTTAATTATAAAAATCATAAAATGTATAATATTAAATATATTCGTTTTGTAATATTTTTGAGTGTACTTAGTTTTGAGAAGCTATCGATAATGAAAAAAATGATCTGGCCACCCTGTTTCTTACTGTCAGATGCTGAGCGATGAACTGACCAGAAAAAAAATGAGAAAAATGTGTTTTGTGCTGCAGTGAAAGAAAAATTCCAAAAATTTTATGAAATTTGCAGTGTTACTGATGGCTTAATGCGAAGAAAATAGTTAATCCAATCAGATTGGCTGTTGGGACAGTCTAAGCGAAGATGAATTTTGCAGAAAAGTGAGTAATTGGTGCTAAATTATCAACCGGTTCAACCGAATCAAAACAAACCGAAGGATAACTACTTACTCAATAAATTCACAGTGCTTGTTATGAAAAGTAATTTTAATGTTGAACGCATCCTTCTCCTTCTTCTTCTTTTCCGCATTTCAAGCTTATTGCTTAGCGCATATTAGCTTATTGCGTGCTCTCAACTTAGTGTTCTAAATGCACTTCCACAGTTATTAATTGAGAGCTTTCGATGCCAATACCAATGCATGAATTTGCATATTGTGTGGCAAGCACAATGATACTTTATGCCCAGGGAAATCGAGAAAATTTCCAAACCGAAAGATTCCCTCGACTGGACCGGGAATCGAACCCGCCGCCTCCGGCTTGGTAATACCGTGCCTTTACTGACTAGGCTAAGAGGCCCTTAGGTTGAACGCATCCAGTGAAGTGATTAATCGATAATTACATGCCTATTTACAGTTTTATATACAGTTACTTAAAGCGGATGTGGTTACCTACATTGATTTTTATGCATCTTGTTTGTTTACAAGCTTGTAATATTGTGAAAATCAGTTTATGTTTCAAGTGTTTTATGTTCTGCAACTTTGTATTGACCTCTGAAGAAGGATAGTTTTTTGGTCGAATCTCAGCCTGGTCATTGTCTGGCCCTTCAGACTCGCACTGACTTCCAGCGTACTCTCCCTTCTCTGCGCACCTCGGTGAGCTCCAGGCTTGTGTGGTTAAGCTGGCTGACGATTCATAGGGCTGAAAATTACTCTTGCTCAATCTCTTTTACATAGCTGTACGTAAACAATTCCACCAAAACTCAACACGTTTTATATTTTTTTAACACACCTTTCGTAAAACTTCACTTATTCGTAAGCGCCTGATTGAAGATATGAGTGCTATTGACATTGCCTGTAATTAACAAATATACTAAATAGAATGATTTATTATACAACTCTAAAGGCTAGTTGCCTCCCTAAGCGGACCCCCCTCGTCCTATCTCTTATATTAATTAACTTTCTGAATTCTCTAATTGAAGTTCATTTGATGATTATTTAGTCTTATCTAATAAATAACTGAAATCTCTAATCTACCTACACAATCATAACCCATGCTTTTAAACTAAAATTTAACGTGTTTCAAGTACTTCTGGCTTTAGCATATATTAATTATATCTTTGTTCGTCCCAGGTGACACCTTCAAGTGACTAAATGCTTCACTTTGAAGTTATTTTCCAAGCTAATTTTAAATTGTATATCGTATAGGGTAAATGTTCCAATTACGCTCTCACGTTTCCACTCTGTCCACTATGTTAGGTAAACGACCATGGGTATCCATGTAGGGTTTTTGATCTAATTTCCGTCCTACTAAGCCAACCCGCGCTTTACCTCTCTTTTCTGAACGAGCTTAAACAAAAAATGGAATATTTCTGTCAAAAATGACTTGTAAATTTATTCACTTTTCCATACGTACTGTTGGATTTGATAAAGAGTGTTACAAATTGTTGAGATATTGTTTAAAATCTGATACTGCTTCTTGATTCTAAATTCGTTCTACGAGTTTCAGTTCCGTCCAAACGCATTGAAACGCCATTAGATTTTCTTAGAGATGAACTAGCCTAAGGCTAAAAATCTCTTTAATAAAGCTTTAAAAAAAAACACATTAGATTTTCTTCGTCCTACGGATAAACTACGATAGGCCGAATCACAAAAGGCCGAATCACAGAAGGTCCAATAACAAAAGGCCGAAATACATAAAAGGCCGAATCACAGAAGACCGAATCACAAAAGGCCGAAGAAGCTCGGGAAACCGACAAAGTGGACACAAAGGCGGACCACTTTGTCGTTTTCCCGATTCGGACTTTTGTTAATTTGTTTTTAATAAATTAAATTACATTATTAAAGTAAAGTTACAATAATTATTTTATTATTCTGCATCTTCAAAATAAAATGTAATAGAAGCTACTTAATGGCCATTCGATTTCCGTAATGAAAAAAAAACTTAAAATTTGGGTAGCTTTAGTTTTATGGCTTCGTTCAAGATGAAATTCAATATGGGAGGAATTCTCAAATCGAAAATCGTCATTAGCAGCGATAGTTCTCTTGGTCCGTTTTGCTGAACGTTCTAGTTACACACATTCAACTGCTTGCGCAACTCGCTACCCAATCAGAATGTTGCGTAAATAAACCGTTTACCTCTATCGCATCTCTCATTTTCTTACCGTTCTCTTACCCGCAGCTTACCACTTACTGGTTTTTCCAAAAAAGTCAGCAAGTGAGAACACCTCTGTAGCAGAAAGGCTAACAGATTGTTTGGATGCGGTTTTTAACAAATTCGGTTCGTGATAAATTTTCGGCCTTTTTGGTTTTCGGCTTTTTTGGTTTTCGGCCTTTTTGGTTTTCGACCTTTTGTGGTACCTCATAATATTTTCGGCCTTTTGTGTTTCGGCCTTTTGTGCTTCGGCCTTCTGTGCGGGTCCCGTAGAAAAAGGGGATTCGGTAGGAGCGCTTCTTTTGTTTTGAGAACAATGAGCGTAAATATTCATACAATGCGCTCTAACAGGATTTATGTTGTAGCTAAGGAACTAACGCATCGAAACAAACCTATTATTGATTTGTGCACGGTGAAATCATTGATATTATTGATCTTTTCTGATCTATAGAAGTAGTGCTCTACCCTATTTGAAAAAAAAAATGATGGAGACAACAAAAAAAATCAGGGTTTATTATTATTTTTGAGCTCATCACGTACCGATTGGAACCCGTTGGTTACAAACTTTAGAGCTTCGAGTGAGAACTTTATAAGAAAAAAAAAAAAAAAAATAGGAATAATAGTATGTATGTGTAATGGTTTGGTTATACTGTGAGTTTATACGAATTTCAGATGTTTGAAGGGGGTGCCCAATTTGAAAAATCACCCAAAGAGGGGTAAGACGGCGAGATATCGTTTTCAAATATTATAGAAAAATGTTCCTCTAATCGCTTCCTGCAAAAAAACTTTTGGACAGCAATATCGTAACAAGCTCAAGTTAGGCAGCATGCGACCATCATCGGGAGAACATACCATATTAATAAAGAGGGAGGTACCAAAAAATTAAGACGTGTTAGGGTATAAGTATGTTCTAGATTTTTACTCAGGGGACAACAAGAAAGTCAAATATGGTCAATTTTCTCAGTGCTAGAAATTGTTGTTGCACAGTTTAATAATAAAACGTATACAGTGAGCGGTGAATGGCGACCTTATGTTATATGACATTTGGGCGTTTGTAAAATTCGGGCGAATGTCTTTCGGGTATGAGTGACATTCAGGCAAATGTAATAGAACCGAAAAATATGTAATTAATTAATAATTTCATCAAATTTTCTGGGGAATGCATTCTAGGAAATTATTTTCTGGGGAATAGTGCATTCTAAGGAATGGTTTTCGGGGTTATTTTATAGAAAAGTTTGTCAATATACGATCTTCTTACCTCTTAGGTCCTGTAGCCCAAATAATACCATTTTGATCGATGACACAAGCCTCTAGCGTAACTTGCCATTGACCACCGACCGATACAGATGAGCCTGGATAGGGTTGGATGGTGTTTTGAAGCGATAGCAGAAAATTTCCGCTAAGAAAATCGCGATGCGGCTTCACTACTTGGGTCAAAACTACGTTATCTGAACTGACCTGTAGCAGTAAGATGGAGAGAACAGTTATTAGTCGGAGATATTTTGTGATGTCAGCATTAGGGGTACCTTTATGTCGTTCAATCTAGCGGTCATAAGCTGTGATGACAATGTCAATTGGATGGATTCAATCGACCGAAACAGTGATGGTTTCTTCCCGTAGTGTTGAATTACACCTGGATAAAAATAAGAAAGCAGTTTTCACGATAATTATGTTAACACATTATGAATTATTATTACCTTCCACTTTGACAACTAAATTGCTGTTGGGTTGAACAAATATGGGCTCCCCAGAAATTCGAGGCTGAGGCGTCAATGCAAGTTTCACAGAAGTGTTTTGCAGAACTTGGAAAAAGAATCTTGGCACGCATAATGACGATTTAACCACAATTTCAACCTGCTTGAGCAAAACGTCCATGTGCTTGTTCGTGATTGATTTCGTGGAACCAATTTCGTTTGGCAGTGTTTGCAGCTGCTTGGAAACTGTTTGACAAATGTAGAGCAAATACTTCGTTTCCGGGTAGGTGCAGTTTGGAGCATGCTTGAATGTTTCGGTAGGGGTTGTGAAGGATATAATTTCGATAGATGATTGTAGAATGGAGCATAAATACTGAACGCTGAAAAGAGATATTCATGTTACGATTGATAATAACAAAAAATATTCCCACTGAAAGTATCAATACCGTGTCGGACGGACAGTAGAGTAATAAAATAAATAACAAGCTTGTTGGAGAATCGCGCCAAAACACATATGAGAAATTATTAGGAACCGCGCAAAGTATGATATAGTCAGGGTAAAGGGTGATACGCTCAAAATTTGGTCAATATCAACTTGACGTATTTCTTTCAATTTTGCATTTAAAAAACCTGAACACCCCTCATTTTGAAGGTGTGTGTGTGTAGAATGTTGCTCCTATTTTGATTTTGGAATTCACTCTTCAGTTGTCAAAATGCCGTCCAAGCAAGAAGAGCAGCGTATCAAAATTTTGCTCGCGCATCGCGAAAATCCGAGCTACTCGCACGCAAAGTTGGCAAAATCGCTAAAAGTTGCCAAATCAACCGTTACAAATGTAATTAAAGTGTTTGGGGAACGTTTGTCGACAGCCAGGAAGTCTGGATCGGGGGGAAATCGAAAACCGGAAGCCGCTGAGACGACAAAGAGAGTTGCCGGTAGTTTCAAGCGAAACCCTAACCTCTCTCTCCGAGATGCCGCAAATAAGCTGGGTGTATCGTCTACAACCGTGCATCGAGCCAAAAAACGAGCCGGACTATCGACTTACAAGAAGGTAGTGACTCCAAATCGCGATGATAAACAAAATACGACGGCCAAAGCGCGATCCCGGAGGCTGTACACGACGATGCTGACGAAGTTTGACTGCGTGGTAATGGACGACGAAACCTACGTCAAAGCCGACTACAAGCAGCTTCCGGGACAGGAGTTTTATACGGTAAAAGGAAGGGGAAAGGTAGCAGATGTTTTCAAGCACATGAAACTGTCAAAGTTCGCAAAGAAATATCTGGTTTGGCAAGCCATCTGTACCTGTGGCTTGAAAAGCAGCATTTTCATAGCTTCCGGGACTGTCAACCAAGAAATTTACGTGAAAGAGTGTTTGAATAAACGTCTGCTGCCTTTCCTGAAGAAACACGGTTGTTCCGTACTGTTTTGGCCGGATTTGGCATCTTGCCATTACGGTAAAAAGGCCATGGAGTGGTACGCCGCCAACAACGTGCAGGTGGTTCCCAAGGACAAGAACCCTCCCAACATGCCAGAGCTCCGCCCAATTGAGAAATACTGGGCTATTGTCAAGCGGAACCTAAAGAAGACCAAAAAAACTGCTAAGGGCGAGCAGCAGTTCAAGGCAAACTGGCTTTCTGCGGCGAAGAAGGTGGACAAGGTGGCTGTACAAAATCTGATGGCAGGGGTCAAGCGTAAGGCCCGGCAATTCGGATTTGGAAAAGCGGAAGCCTAACTGAATATTTTTCCTGAATTTTATACTAATTGAACTTGCAAAAGAAATTTAATTTGATTTTTTAAATAAACGATTTCACCGATTTACACGCGTTTTCCCTTGACCAAATTTTGACCGTATCACCCTTTATTAAAAATTTAAGCTGATCTTTAACTTACGTATTCAAATATTCCAGAGTACACGGATCGGCGTCAAAGGAACTTTTATATAGCTTAGCGTAGGCTTCTTCGCACGACTTAAGAATCTTGATATCCTTTCGCAAATGGTTCGTCACATGTCCAAATTTTTGTAGGGGATCCCGTAGATTCTGCGCCAAAGTGTTAGATATAGCCGATGGTGGGGTAATGCATAAAGTGTTCCTTGACACCACAATACTGTGTAACATTTGCAGAAACTGACACCGTAGATTAACGACTTCCGACTGGAATGTCATCGGATGCTGAGGAGAGGAAGTAGCCTGTGCGAATAAAATGATTAATAAGTATCTGATCAGCAGTTTCGAGCAATCTAATCACCTTGAGTGTTGACAAAGCCATGCAGTATAAATTAATTGCCCTGTCCAAACGGTCTAACAACGAAAGTTGAGGAGCATCGAATTGAACAGAATCGGGGAAAGTTTGCATCAATTGCTCATACGTCAAGCCATAATTCAAAACACATTCGGCCTTGGAAATTTGGCTCATTGCGATTAGATAAAAATGAAGTTTTTCGTGTGACACATGCTTGGATAATTTCTGATAGATTATAGCGGCGAGGAAGTGTTGTCCGTATCTGTAAATAAAAAAATAAATAAATAAATAAATATAAATCGCAAGTGCTAAAACCCTGAACATCGAGGCGTCGATGCCATACCTTGACGCAGAACGAGCAATCCGGTACTGTGTCCAATAGTTGCATATTGCCAACAAATTGTTGAATGCTTTCATTAATCTGTGAGGCATAAACGATCCAAGTACCGCTTGAAGACAAATCGATGCTAGCAATTCGACGACAGTTGTTTCGCTACGGTCAAGTGTCGGAAGCTCAGTGTACGATTCCAACTTTTTCAAAATAGGTAGCAATATTGCTTGAAAAGGATGCTTCGATTCGTGTGCGTTTTGGGTCTGATTAGCTTCGTAATTCGTAGTAAAACTAGAGCAAATTGCACCCAATGCTTCACAAATAAGCTTAATATGCGGAGCCGAGTGAGCTAGGGAAGATAAGAAAAACAAAACAAAATGTGTTGGAATCAATAAAATTCTGGCAACCCACCAAAAACGTAGCCAGTTTTATAAATAGGGGTAGGAGAAGGGGAGGGTAGTCAAAATGAGTTTGGTGGTAGAAAATAAGGCCATATGTCAAAAAGTTGCAAATGAGTTCGTGGAGAAAACGACGAAACGTTTGGTTGTACAATTTTAGCCGAGAAGAATGCAGCGCGGACGCAGCTAAAGATCCGTCAGAATGTGGAGCAATAAAAACAGAAATGACGACAACAACTTTTCAGTGAAAAGAAGCACCGCCTGGAAAAGTTAGAGTGCGAATAAATAGAGCAGCTGCATCGTTCTTAAGGGACGCTTAAGTTCTACAAGAAACTCAACGCACCCTGCCGCGAGCCGGAATGTGTCGGGATAAGGATGGAGGTATCTTAACGGATGAACGTGAGGTGATCGAAAAATGGAAGCAGCATTACGATGAACACTTGAATGGCGGAGAACCAAGACAGTACTAAATAATAACAAGGAAAATGAGCCCGAACGTGATGGCTCCTTGTCTGCACCGACTGATAGTCAGGATCTGAGCTACCCGAGGAGTGGAAAGATGGAGTAATAGAATACCCAATATACAAAAAGGATGACAAATTAGAATGTGATTCTTACGCAGCCTACAAAATGTTTACCCAGTGTCGGATTTCTCGCCTCTCAAATACAGATGATCGCTGCTAGCAAGCAGATTTGTTGGATGTTATCAAACCGACATCGATCCCAAAGCCGCTTACAATATGTCTCTCCTTGCTGGCTTTTGACGCTCTTATACGAGCTTGTGTCTGCCCTCAACTTGGTGCTCAAACCCCACACGCATCAATATATTGACGCGAAGGGGAATTATTGACAATAATATTAATGATGTGAATTCAGAAATATTGTCAATCTCGATATATTGACGTCAATATAGAATGTATTGACAATACGATTATTGTCAATAAAAGTAATCGTGTCCACTTTTGACGCATTTCAACAGTTTCTAATTGAGAGCTTTCTATGCCAACCAATCCATGAATGAACATGAGGCAAATTTACTCATCGCTCGTCGCTAAGTTCCTGCGTTTATGCGATTTATGAGTTTAGTTACTCAAATTTGCGTCGTTCTCATTCACCGTGCAGAATTTTACGGAGGATCAAGGTGACTACATATACACTCAAAAAATATTGGAAGCTAAATAGTATAAAAGTTACGCTAAATCGCAACTCTCCGTGCCGACGCAAAGGTCGGTATAAAGGGAGAGAATACAGACTTAGTATAAAAATGATTTATGCCTGCCATTAGGTTTTGCACCGTCGGGGTTAACCTCAATCTGATGACAGTTCAGTGGTACTGTTTACGTGGACTTAGCCGATTTTTTCTTGGGTGGATTTTCTCGATAATTTTTCAGGCTGCAGTGAGATGTAAACCACATTTCTGCAATGTTCACGAGCAACATCCTTGCAATGCGCTGTTCCTCGACAATTTTCAAGTTAAAATTCGGAAATTTTAGAATTTTTTTTTTTCGAAAAAACGACTAAGTGCTTGTAAACAGTACCACTGAACTGTCAAAAAGGTTCAGCCGATTAACACTGAGTTCATTCGTGACGTCACGCTGCAGAACCTAATTAGTAAGTTATGTAAAACTCAATTTTGAATAGTTTGAACTTGACGTTGAGCGAAAACAACTTAAAAGTAAGTAATCCTGTATACATGCGAGTGAATGACAACAACTCAAAATTGAGTTGGCGCACGGAACTGCCATCCTTAGTGAAAAGAACTCAAAATTAGGTACTTTTTTATTTCCGTGTAGTAATAACGGACGTCGAGAACTCATCATCCTGACCAATCAACTAGTTGAGCAAAAGTTTGTTTCTTTGAAAAACTCGAACAGCTGGTACAATTTGGATCTTTTGCGTCTTAAACGGAAAAGGGACAAATTGTACAAAAAGTTTTGTAGATCTAATAATGACAATCATTGGACTAGGTACACAATCGCGCGTAATAAGTATTCACAATCGATAAAGAAAACTCGTTGTGAATATGTTCAAAGGAAGATTGATCAGCATCAAAACAACAGCAAAGAGTTATGGAAAATTTTGAAATCTTTATTAAAACCTAGTAATTGCAAACCGCGGTCCATAACTTTTAATGGCACATTAGAACAGTCAGAACAAGTAATTGCAGCTAAGTTTAATGATTATTTCGTAGATAGCGTTTCATTGATTAATCAATCCATTGAATTGGTCGATGAACCTGACGAAATAAAACAGCCAGTTAATAGTAGTTGTAGATTTGAAGTTTTTCACCCAATCACATTAGATGAACTTAGAGTTATTTGTTTTTCATTAGGAAAATCGGCTGGAGTAGATAATGTTAATGCTAGAGTTATTCAAGATTGCTTTCATGTCATTGGCCACATCTTGCTGGACCTTATTAATGAATCATTACAAACTGGACATGTGCCACAAATTTGGAAGGAATCCTTAGTGGTCCCTATTCAAAAAGTTGCTGGAACGATTAAAGCCGAAGAGTTTCGTCCCATCAACATGTTGCACACATTAGAGAAAATTTTAGAACTTGTTGTTAAAGGTCAGCTGTTGGAGTATTTAAATAGTAATAGTTTGTTGATACCAGAACAATCGGGATATCGGGAAGGTCATTCTTGTGAAACCGCGTTGAATTTGGTATTAGCGAAGTGGAAAAATAACTTGGAGTGTAAAGATACGATTGTTGCTGTTTTTTTTGGATCTTAAACGCGCTTTTGAAACAATTTCTAGACCCTTATTGTTAAGATCAATCAAGCGCTTTGGAATTACGAGTACTGCATATAAATGGTTTGAAAGCTATTTGTCTGACAAAACTCAACGGAATGTTTTTAATGATTCTGTTTCCAGTCCCGTGGGGAATAACCTTGGAGTGCCCCAGGGAAGTGTATTAGGGCCCCTGTTATTTATTATGTATATTAATGACTTGCGACGTGTTTTACGATTTTGCGACATTAATCTTTTTGCAGATGATACTGTGTTATTCATTGCAGCTAAGGATTTAGATGATGCCGTTTTACACTTGAATGAAGATTTGCGTTCTCTAAGTAGATGGTTGAAGTATAAGCAGTTAAAATTGAATACAAGTAAAACTAAATTTATGGTAATTTCGCGGAATCGAGTAAATGAGAACGTCTCTGTTGTAATTGATGATGAGACTATTGATCGCGTTCGGGAGATTAAATATCTTGGCGTGATTATTGATGACACACTTAAGTTCAACTCTCACATTGACAATGTCATCAAGAAAATTGCCAAGAAGTATGGAATTCTATGTCGACTGAAAAACGATTTAACTATTGCCAGTAAAATACAGCTATACAAATCAATCATCTCTCCTCATCTTGACTTTTGCCCTTCCATTTTATTTCTGGCCAATGCAACACAAATATCGAGATTACAGCGCTTGCAGAATAAAATAATGCGTTTGATTTTGAGATGTAATAGATTCACTTCCTCAACTTTGATGTTAGACGCCTTACAATGGTTGTCAGTGAAGCAAAGAATTGTATATTTGACTATGGTGTTCATTTTTAAAGTAGTTAACGGTTTGCTGCCTCGATATTTGTGTGATCGAATTGAAAGAGGAAGTGACTTTCATAGATATAATACTAGAAACGCGGTTGAAATAAGAACACCACATTTCTTGACTTGTGCTTCACAAAATTCATTATATTATAAAGGAATAAATGTTTTCAATTCGATGCCTAGACATATCAAACGTTTAGCAACACTTACAGAATTTAAAAGACACTGCATTTCACACGTTAAAACTGTCTTTTGAACAGTTATCCAGTGATTTTTTATGAATTGACAAATTATGTATCTTGACGAAGTTATCTCTAACGGATTATTTTATATGGATAGCTGTCATAACGACTTTTTAATAATTATTGTAGCACTGCAAAAACTATTTCTGTTCGACACGAGGGTGATGATGGATTTTTAATATTTGATTTTATAGTAGATTAATTAAAAAAAAAAGTAGTCTACAAAGGTTTGAGCCTCGCACGCGTATTACGGATATAGAGGACTGAATTTAACATTTGATAAAAAAAAAATGCAATTTTGAAGCTTATTTGAAAGATACCTTGAGTTAGTAGTAAGTTTTCTGGCAAATGTTAGGGGTTCGTGAGCATTCCTGACATTGCTGAAAATTATGATAGCATCAGATTGCGGGGTTACTAGTGTAATAGGATGCTTTGTTGATTGTTCATTAACTCTTGATTGCTTGTAATACTTATGAATATTTTAGGTGGACAAAAAGGCGAACTAAGAGGTGGACGCCTGAGCTTTTCCACATTTATATCGCTGTGAAGCAACTGTAAACTTTAGAGGGAATCTATATCTGTAACTGAAACCAGTTCGATTTTGTTTGCCAACCTGGTTAAAATGTCATATTCAATTATCTTAAAGATAAATCGTCCAGCTCAAACCTTTGTAGGGGTAAGAGGTGGGACCATCATCATCAACATGGCGCACGGAACTGTCGAGTTGGGTGAATAGAACTCAATTTTGGGTTGTTGTGCTCTTTTAGTTTTTGACAACAACAAAAGAGCAAGTGAGAGACAGCAACTCAGAAGTATTTTTTATTTATTTTATTTATTTATTTATTTCGTCAACCAACGTAAACTAGTACATATTAGAATACAGTTTTGTTTTCTTAAATTTATTTATTTAGTTCGTCAACTTTGGACATAAGGTTAAAAGTATAATTTTTTCTTTAATAAAAATTAAGCAGTGTCAGCTTTCCTATTTTCTATGAGTTATAATGCCTTATGGAGTAAAAATATTGTTTTAGTTTATGCCGAGACATTGTAAAGTCAATGGTTTCGCAGTATTGATTGTAAGAGGCCATCATGCGGTTTAATGGCCCATATTTTGCATAATTCGTGCGATGATGTTTTATGGCAAATAAATTTCG